CATCCCTTGAACAAAAAATTTAAGTCTAACTACTCTTGTTCGAAAAATGGCTGTAGAAACCTTGCAAATAGTAAAGGCTTGTGGAATCTGCTCGGTAGTAGGGCATCCAACTGACATATGCCCAACTCATCAAGAAGATCCTAGTAAACAAGTTGATACAATGGATGTCTTTCTTGGACAATCACAAAGGAATTGTGATCCTTACTCAAACACTTATAACCTAGGATGGAGGGATCATCCTAACCTTAACTATGGGAATCAACAAGTGAATCAATCAATGACTCAAAATCATCCAAAATTCCAACAATACAGGCAGCTATACCCTCATAGATGACAACAAGACCAAACTTCAAATTCAGGTATGCATTTAGAAGATATCGTAAAGTCTCTTACCACTAACAATTTGCAATTCCAACAAGAGACAAGTGCAAGTATTAAAAGTTTGGAGAATCAAATGGGTCAAATGGCAACATCAATTAGTAGGCTGGAAGCACAAAGTTTCGGAAAATTACCCTCCTAAACAATGGTCAATCCAAGAGAAAATGCATGTACAAACACCCTGAGAAGTGGTAAAGAGGTTGAGATTCTAGTAAAAACAGTCCCTACATCATCGGAGCAACAAAAGGAGAAAGATGTCACTACAAACACGGATGTTCCCAGTGATAATGACATACCTAAGCGTAAGTCTCCATCTCTTTCTGATTATAAATCGATACCCCCTTTTTCTCAAGCTTTGGTAGGATATAGGAAAGATGAAGGAGATCATGAGTTTTATGATACGTTTGATAGATGCGAGGTAAATATTTCATTTATAGATGCTATTAAACAAATACCTCGTTAAGCTAAATTTTTGAAACATTTGTACAAGAATAAGAGGAAATAGAAACTCAAGGAATGTGAAAAGGTAAATGTTAGGGAGAATGTCTCTACAATTATTCAAAGAAAACTCCCCATGAAGTGCACAGACCCATGTATGTTTACTATCCCTTGTACGATAGGTGACACTAATTTTGAAAAGGCCATGATAGATTTAGGAACTTCTGTTATTGTCATGCCATATTCTATATATGCTTCTGTGGTGTTGTGATCCAACTAGCTAATAAATCTAATGCAAATCCTAAGGGTTTAGTTGAGGATGTTCTTGTGAAAGTTAATGATTTGATTTTTCCCGCTGATTTTTATGTGCTTGATATGGGTAATAGTGATCAAACTACCCCCATTTTGTTAGGAAGACCATTCTTAAGGACATCCAAAACTAAGATAGATGTTCATGATGGCATACTTACTATGGAATTTGATGATAAAATTGCTAAATTCAATATTTATGATTCCATAAAATGCCCTAATGATGATAATCATGTTTACTCTATTAAAATGATTGATCGTTTAGAACATGAAGTTTTAGAACCTGATGAAAATAATGTTGTAAAACTTTTCATTGATAAGCATATTGAGGAGGTGGATCAGAAGTTACTCCCGAATACTGCCTTACGGAAAACTGTTTGCAGCATTGAATGCTTCTCCAAAGTTACCAAAGTCTGGTAAAAGTTAACATAGTGTTTTGTCAGTTTCTAACAAGAGACATTTCTATGCAAGTTTCCAAATGGAGGAGGTGAGAACATAGGGCCTTCGAAATCGAATTGATGCCAGTTGAGAAAGGAATCAATAAGTTTAGCCAAAGACAATAAACAAAGGCACTGCTTGGCGGCAAACCAGGAAAGTTCTTTTTTTTATTTTTTTATTTTCGTTTTTTGTTTTTGCATTTATATATTAGGAAAATTTTGTTCCCCTCTTTGGATTTCACTTTACATTTGGGACAATGTAAATTTTAAGTGTGGGGGGAGGAATTTAAGTTTTTTTTTTTAAATTTTTAATGTAGGTCATGCTTCCATTATTTTTGACAAGATAAGAAAAAAAATTTGAGGAAAAAATTGTAGTTTTAAATGATTTTTGGTTGCATGTGCTATCTACTAGATTCAATTCAGCTTTGAAAAACTCATAACATGATTGAATGAATGATCTTCTAACTTAGAGTTAATTAGTTGAGTTATTTTCTTTGAGGATGGTAGTAATTAAATTTTGTAGAAAAAAATCGGTGAGATTTTGAGCCTTTAAACTGACACATTCATATCAGTCTCACTATTTTCTTTCATGAGTGATTTTCTTCCATGGATTTGCTTCTCTAGAGCTTACCTTGATTCTCTTTGAGATCATATTAATACATGCGTGCATGAACATGATTAAGGCCATCTTTGTTGCATAATTTAGCCACATAAGGCAAATAGCTTACCTTGTGATTAATTTTTCCCTTTGATAAACCCCTTTGAGCTTAATTGTCTTTTCTTTTGCAAACCTACATTACAAGCCTTAACCTGAAAAAACAATATCTTTACTCAATCCATAGAGCTAGTGGAGTATTGTTCAATATTTTGAAGTGTGGGTGTGCAAGGAATAAGTGTGGGGGTGTATGGATCTATGGTAGAGCTTTGATTGGTGAAATGAAATGTAATTCCAATATCAATTCATCATTTCCATTGCTAGTGGACTATTTAGTATTAAAAAAATCCCAAAAAAAAAGGTGATGAAAAAAAAAATTTCTACGTTCATGATTTCTCTCAAAAATCCCAAGAAAGTGTTGGGTTGTATGAAATAAATGAAGAGAAACAGTTAAGCGGAGTGATAATCTTACATGTCTTATATATGTTTGAGCTTGAGGCAATTCATTTTTCTTACTCCACTAGTTTCAATGGTTTTTGAGTCACTTATCTAAATAATTCCCACTTGGACCCTAAGCCACGTTACAACCCATGTAAAAGACCTTATGATTTGTGTTATGCATGTGGTCTAATTGGTGGAGAATGAGAAGATATGCAAGCATATGGTAGATCATGTCCATTGGAATGAATTTGAGTGAAAAACTTACCTTTTAAACACATAATAGTCGAGTGCTTATATCCCCCAAGGGTCTACATGTTTGGTTTACTCCATCTTTATATGAAAATGCTAACTAATCGATTATGAGTTGTGTGAGAATGTTTGTTCATGATATGTTATGTGTTTTAACGAGTTTGATTGCTCTTTGTTGATGGCATGAAAATCTTAATATCTTCGTGAAAGTAAATTTAAATTTTACTCGAGGACGAGCAAAAGCTAAGTTTGGGAAAATTTGATAAGACATGAAATGTCATGTTTTACATCCATTAATACTTGTATTTTCATGATTAGCGAATGTCTAAATGTACTCAATATCCTTATATTTTGATTTAGATTGTAAATGGATGGAAAATATGGAGTTTGGAAGAAAAGAGCAAAAAAGGGGCCAAAATGGAAGAAATTGAAAGTTCAAGGACCAAGTTGCAAATAATCCCAAGATGAGACGAGCAATGGAATAAAGATTCAAGAGGGTTAGAGGTCAAGTGGATGAGGAAAGAAGTCAAAGGGATGGAATACAATCAAAGTATAATCACACATCAATTTCCGATTGAAAAAAAAAAAGTTATGCACCGGTTCTTAGCATCATATTGGGACCCAGTTTCGACATGGTAGAAAATCGAATTGGAAGATGACATAGCAAAAAAATTTGAGCCATTTGGGTTATCTTTCCGATGCACTTTGAATAACCTTAATCGGATATCGAAAGAGAAAGTTGTGATCAAAATACTAAAAGTTGTCCGATAGTGAAAACTGTAAAACCATGCGATCGTATGGTTCATTTTCAATGCAATCGTACAGCCTATTTCAGCGACTTCAAGATGGTTTTTTGACATAATCATGTGGTAGCATGGAAATATACCATGCGATCGCATGGTAGAAGCCGAGACACGATTTTTCTGTTTCCTTTTTCCGTTCAAACATGTATAGAAACAAATCTTTTCACCATATAAATATCCTAATTCACCCCAAAATGTAGAGAACACCCTCAAACTTAATTTTCTCTCTTTCTCCTCTAGATTTATGATGTGTAATTAATTCTCTTTGCTTGATTGAAGGAGGCGGAAGCCTTGGAACAATTAACTGTAAGATCCACCTGGTTTTTTATTGTTTAATTCTTATGTTTAGTATTAAATATTTTTCTGCATGTATTTTTATGGTTGTTGAGTTTAATTGCTAGGATGCATACTAGTTTATTATTCTCCACAATCTATAGCTAAGTTAAATATCAAATCCGTAATTGTTTGATTAATTTAACTTGTAAAGCGACTAGGATTAGTAATTTGCTACTTTGGAAATTATTAAATCTTAGGAAGAATATTTATCAAGGTTAAATGCAACCGCGTGTGCTTGTGTTATCTGGTTCATTGATTTTTCTAGTTCATAAAGCGGTTACTGAAATAAATCTTCGCGGTTTTTTGGGATTGTTTGATAACTAGGATTAATTAAATCGCTTGTTTCTAATTAATTAAAACTAAGGAAAATTAGGAAATCATTTCGAATGGAAAATTATTTTCGACAATGAATGCTAAAATTATGAATTGATAATTATTTGTGGATCCAATGGTGGATATTGACTTAGATCAAGGTTCGTTATATTGATTTCATTTAATTCATTGAATTGCGTTGCTATCAGTTATTTTTATTGAAAATTTATTTTTTCAAAACCAAAACCCCTTTTTTTAGTTAATATTGCATAAAGGATAAACTAAACACTCTTCGTGGGATCGACCCTTACTTCTGCTACTACATTAATTTTAAGAAGTATAGGTTTTAATATGAAGTGCCTACAACAGCACGCACCATTGAAGAAAGCAAGCTTGAAAAGGTTGTGGTGTCTACACCGAATCCCATACTTATAGAGGAAAAACAGATTGAAGAGCAGAAGACTGAAGCAGAGGCAACAAAAGAGATTCATATGCCTTACTCAATCTCATTTCCAGTCAATCCACCTATCTTGAAGCCATAGCTACCATTTCCATAGAGATTCATTAAAAAGAAAACTGATCTCTTCAAGAAAATCCACATCAACATTCCTTTTGCAGATGTCTTGGCCCAAATGCCTAACTATGCCAAGTTTTTTAAAGGAAGTGATGTCAAAGAAGAGAAAGTTGGAGGAGTTTGAGACTGTTAAGTTGACAGAAGAGAGTAGTGTCATTCTCCAGAAGAAGCTCTCTCCAAAATTGAAAGATCTAGGAAGCTTTAGCATTCAATGCAATATTGGTAGCATCACATTTGATAGAGCACCGTGTGACCTTGGAGCTAGCATTAACTTGATGCCCTTATCAACGTTCAAAAACCTGGATCTTGAACCAATGAAACCCACAACCCTCACCTTGCAACTGGTAGACAAATCAATTGCATATCCTAAGGGTATTATTGAAGATGTATTGGTGAATGCTGATAAGTGCATCTTTCCGATGGACTTTGTGGTGTTGGATATGGAGGAGGATGATAAAGTACCACTGATTCTTGGTCGACCTTTCCTGGCTACTAGAAAAGCATTAATTGATGTCCAGGAAGGAAAGTTGACACTGCGGGTTAATGAAGAACAAGTTTCAACATCCATCAAGTAGAGAAGCCTTAAGAAAAAGTTAACCCTTGCAATATGATCCGATCAACTGAAGCAGTTATAGGTAATCGAGGAAAAGAAGAAATATTCTATGATCCGCTAATGCAGAACATGGCAACCAGTTAGCAAGGGAGGCACCTACTAATGGTAAATACTTAGGAGCCAATAAGGCGGTGGATTTCATCTTAGCTCAAGAAGTTGATCCACCTGACAAAAAGGAAAGCTATGTAGATAGGCCTCTGAAACACTCAAACATTGTCAAACAAAAAGAGGTTTTGAAGGCTACTCAAGGGTTAAAACTTCCTAAATTTGTTGGCCATGCTACAATGAAGAAGAATACAAAGCCAAGGGTAAAGTTTAGAAACAAGATAAATGTGCAACATGAAGATCCAATGTAGACATCTCAATTATGTAAAGCTAATGACGGTAAAGAAGTGCTTCTTGGGAGACAACCCAAGCATTCGTTTTTTTTATTTAGCCCTTGTTTGAGCCACATTATTAGAATGAAAATGCATTTTTGAATAGTATATTGATGGGAAATGTGTGATTAAAAAATAAGATAATTTTTGGATTTGCGTGTAATATTATTTTATTAAAGAATGTGTGGTTGAAATGATGTCAAATGACTGTTGAAAAATGTATTTTTTTAAAATAATGTGGCTCAAACAAGGCCTTATTCTATTTTTTTATTATGGGATAGTTTATTTTATTTTTGAGTTTATTTAGGAATTCATCAGCCACATCCCATCTCCCCTTAGGTTTTTGAGTATTCAAGTTGGTTATTAGATGTTTGAGCTAAGTAACCCATGTTCCATGCATTTAACATCTAAAATTTGATTTTTCATGAACATGATGTCGCGAAACACTTATACCAACATTGACAAGGAGAAAACAAGATAAATCTCAAGTTTGGAGAAAAAGCTAGAAGAAGCATCCATCAAATTCAACATCATAGCACCAGACCTTCATTGGCAATTCAGACGAATCAGGAAAGTTCTCCTCCTTTCTTTTAATTTTAAATTTTTGGCAATGTTTAGTTTAAGTTTGGGGGAAGTGTATTAGAAATTGTCTAATTGCCTAATTTTTTTATTTTGTGTGATTTGTGTGCAATTTTTTTTTATTTGTGTGCATTGTTTTTAAAAATAAAAAAAAATTTAATTGTTTGGCATGCTTATGTGAGTTAGATAGCCTTGCCGGCATGGATCTATGTAATTGAGGAAATGTGTTGATTTATAAATTGTGGATGAGTTATGTGTTCAAGTTAAACTTTTGCTTATTTGTGTGAAATGAAAAATAATTTTGCACGTAAATTGATTGTGGCATTGTACATGAGTAGGTTGATTCATTTAGAGGTTGGATTTGAGAAATTAGATGCTAAACCCAAATAACCATAAACATCATTATACCCTTAAACCAAACATAGGATGTTTGGATGATTGCACTATTGTAGGAAAATTTAGAGATAAATGTGGATTCTGTGTGTGCAAATTTTTTGTATGGATTGTCTGAGACTAACAGAATGAAAATTGGGTGAAAACTTTAAGTTAAGGGTCAATTTTCTTTTCACCAAATTTTCGAGAATAGATGTTAGGTAAGGGACATTTCACCAATCACTCTAAAAAATAGTAATAAAGAAAAAAGATCCCAATGAGGAAAATTTTAATAATCTCATTGTGAGTTATCTCTTCATAGCCTTTATGACTCGAATGATTAAGCTTGCAAGGGTTTAAAATCTGATATCCTAAAATCATCTGATTTGGGAGTCATCGGCTTAAAGGTTGCTACAGGGGTCATTTAGAAAGTTTAATGGAGAGATGTCCGCACAAAAGGTAATTAAAAGAATAAAATTATATCTAAAAAAAAAGGATATCACATGCCTTGATTAAGCCCTGAACACTTATTTTAGAGGATTAGACCTTTTAATAATGGGGTAAGTAACTTAGTTTATTCTTGGAGGTTGAAGCAATCAAAAATAAAGAGAACCTTCATTTATTTATGTATTGAACTACAATTAGTAAAATCTGACCAAACTTGAGCGGTGTAAGAAACTAGTATTGAAAATCCACCTTAGATTACACCATTGGGAAGAGAAGAAAATAAGTTTGGGGATGTGAGAATCCCACAAGCAAAGTGAGGAAATATTTAACTTTTAAGGTCGAGAATTGAATCAACTTATTATTGTACAACTTTGCACTTAATTCTCCAGACACACACACATGCGTTTTGCATTAAATAGGTGAGAATTTAGCTTTTGCATTATAACTTTGAAGTGATTCATGAAATTGATGTTATGTTTTCAATCCTGACTTATGAGGGCAAGATATCTAACACAATTTGTTCTAAGTGACTTCGTTTGTATTTATTTGTTTGTGTGTTTGTTAGTGGTTTTCTTTAGTTTGGTATTTGCTTGAGAACAAACAAAATATTAAGTTTGGGGGTATTTGATGAGTGCTTCACACTCCTGATATTTATGCCACTTAACTCATTATTTTGTTATCCTTAGGAGTGTTTTAGCTCATTTTAATGTGTGTTTTGATGTCGTGATATAGATTGGTGAAATTGGAGGAATTAAGCAAAAGTTGGTAAATTAGAGAAAATGGCAAAATTGTAAGAGATCCAAAGTTTGGAGACTAAAATGCAAATATCAAAAGTTATGTCGAACCTCGCAATGAAGATCCAAGAGTACTATGAGCCAATTGGATGAAGAAAGATATCAAGGGGATCAAATTTAGTCAAAGTATGATCACATATCAACTTCCAACCGAAAAAGTTATACTCCAGATTTTCAGTCTCACATTGAGACTCATTTTTGACATAGCAAATGATCGAACTGGAAAATTATTTCTAAAGCAAAGTTGTATCTCTTTGAGTCAGCTTTCCAATGCATCTTGAATCACCTCAATCGAATATTAGCAGAATAAGTTATACAAAAAATACTGAAAGATGCTCAGTCTGTCTTCTAGTCGAACCGGGCGCCGCAATGCCCATCTTGGGCGCCGAGGTGCCAGCTATGCGAAAAAAAGGATTTTTTTATGTTTTTTGATAATTTTATAATTATTTCTGTCATGATTTTAATGCTTTCAATTACCAGATCAATAATTGAATGGATAAATGCTAGTCAATTTTGGTTGACACAACATTGGTTTTATGGGTTTCGAGAGAAAGTATAAAATTTGTTAAGCTTGCTCCATAAAAGAATCGAGACTTTTATAAATTCTTGTTTGAAATCTTCAATGAGTGGAAAACATTGATAGAAAAGGAGACTGAAAAGTAGGTAAAACATCTATGGACAAACAATGTGTTAGAGTTTTGTTTAGAAAAATTCAATAGCTTCTGTACGAATGATGGCATCTTGAGACACTTGACAATACCTAGAACTCCTCAGTAGAAAGGTGTGGCAGAACGGATGAATAGAACTTTGATAGAAAATGTTCGTTATATGCTTTCAAATTTTGGATTGCCTAAGACTTTTTGGGTTGAATCTATTAATACATCTTGTTTGTTGATTAATTACTCACCTTCAGCTACCATTTAGAAAAAGACACCAAAAGATGTATGGTCTGGTAAACCTTTTTATTATTCTGATTTAAAAATATTTGGTTGTCCTGCTTATGCTCATGTAGATAATAGGAAATTGGAGCCTAAGTCTAGAAAGTGTATCTTTCTTGGATACAAATCAGATGTGAAGGGGTATGACACACCACAAGATAAGAAATATGGTGATTAGTAGAGTTGTAGTATTTGATAAACTTGCTATGGTTCATGATACACCTAGTGGAGATTTCGAGGGCATGTGTTTTAGATCTTAGCGGCAGTTGGGAGACACACCTACCCTTAGTCGAGTTTTCTTACAGCAATAGTTTTCTGGCCACTATAAGTATGACCCCATATAAACTTCCTATTCGTTGGGACGAGCTCGGAGAGAATAGAATTTTGGATCTTGAAATCATTGAACGAACAATTGAGGTAGTTGACAAGATTAGAGTCATGATAAAGACAGCACATGACCGACAGAAAAGCCATGTCAATGGTAGAAGAAAAGATTTGGAATTTGGTATGGATGATAAAGTTTTTCTAAAAGCAGTACCCATAAAAGGTATATTAAGATTTGGTAAAAGGGGAAAGTTGAGACTGTGATTTATTGGACCTTTTGAAACTCTCGAAAGGACTAGTGATGTAGCTTACTGACTTGTTTTACAATCTGAACTTGCAGCAGTGCATAACTGTTCCATGTTTCGATGCTCAAAAAATATGTTCATGATCCTAATCATGTGGTAGGTTATCAGACATTGGAGATACAAAAGTACTCATCATATGAAGAAATTCGGACGATGATTTTGGATAGAAAAATGCATCAACTCAGAAACAGGGAAGTTTCCCTAGTCAAGGTCCAATGGCGAAATCATGGACTTGATGAGTTAACTTGGAAGAAGAAAGAGTAGCTTAGAACCAGGTATTCAGAACTCTTCAATTAACCAAGATAAATTTTGGAGGAAGAAAATATTGTAAGGAGGGGGGATTGTAAAATTCCAAATTTTCATAGAATAGAATTAATTTTTTTATATGTTATATTTTAATATTTTGAAAAGTTAGGGACTAAAATGATACATAGGAAATTCCAATTTTATTTGGGTTAAATATTTAGATATTGATCGAGTAATGATACGTATATAAATATTAGGCTCATTGGATAGATCATTAATCATGCATATTAGGCTCAAGAAAAAGTTAATTTGATTAAGTTTAGCCCAAATTATCGAGGTCGAAAGATATGGTGCTAAATTATTTTTAATTAAGTTAAATTAAGGAATTTAGAATTTAAGGGTGACACGTGTAGAGCAAGTTTATTGGTAAGTTATTAATTTATTTTATAAATATAAAAAGGATTTGTGTGTGTGTGTGTGTGTATATATATATATAGAGAGAGAGAGAGAGAGAGATTGGAATACAAATTTGTTAATATATTCACATGTTTCTAAACTTGAGATTCTTTCTCCTCTACTT